ACCGGATTCCATGAACTTTCTCAATGAGATCCTTCTCCATAGCCTGGAAAAGGGATATTATCTTCCCTGTAGCTGGATCTTTGTAACCAGTTACTGCCTTTTCTGCAGACAACAGCTTATTCTTAAACTCATTCCCCACAAGACCTCTTTTTGTGGCTTCTTCTACTGTCAAGAAAACATTGTTAACTGGATCAACAACGAAGCCAGATGAAGCTTGGGCCTCAAGAAGCTCCAGGGTGGTTCCTCTCATTAGCAGACCATCCTTCATTGCATGATAAAAAGGCAATATTCTGTCATTGGCCTCATCATAAATTCCTGCAATACAGGTAGAGCCATAGAGATAGGGCTTTAGCTTGTCTTCAATGTCTTTGCAGGAGATTTTCCCTTGGTTAAGCTTCTGCAAGTCAGTTTCATCTAGTAGTTCAGCCTTAATAAGCTCTGAGACAGAGACTTCGCCACGAATACCTTTCACTGTCATGTGCTTTTCTGGACCTCGAAGCAGAAGCAAACCAGACACCGGATCAACTGTACACTTCCTTCTAAGGTCAGAGTAAGTGGTTTTCTCTCCTGTTTCTGGATTTAGGTAACAGGTTGGTTTTTTATTTAGGGCCCTATAGAGATCTTCATCAATAAGACTGCGGTCCAAGGCCAGATCTTTTGGAAGGAACACACTCAGAACTGGATCCAAAATGCCTCCAACAGACTCCTGAGCCTGGAGCAACCTGATGGCTGTTTCTTTGTCTACATGACCATGTTTGCAGGCCTGTCCCACAGACAACACTTTGCCTGTGTACGGATCTTTGAAACCTGTGCTAGCTGCTTCAGCTGTCAACAAGACATCTCTGTCTTCTGTGTCCACAATCCCTCTGGAACAAGCTGTATCTACAGGCATCCTGTCATTGAAAACAGGGTCCATTATGTAGCCTGTTGCAGCTTGAGCTTCCAGGAGCTTAATTGCACTCTCTGGGCTGAGGAGATTTTTGTGTTTGGCTTCAGTGAATGGCATTTTCCCTTGGGACCCTGTTGTCATTCCAGCAATAACACCAGTACCCTTCAGACTAAGCTGGATGTCCACTGCTACCTCATCCACAGTCCTTTTTCCTTTTAAGAGCTCATCAAGGATAGTTTTACTGATTACACCACAATCACAAAGCTGGTGAGCCGTGACTTTGCGGCRCACCCCATCAAATACAAGCTTTGATGGATCAATTGTTGAGACCTCATCTGTCTGGGTCTGCTTGCATAAGGTACTGGGTCTCTGCTTTAATTTCTGTATTTCTTTCTCTAGGGAATCTCTCTTTAKATTCAATTCAGAAACCTCCCGTTCTGAGCTTAACAGACGACTCCTGTATCGCTCCTCAACACTTTTCAGCTCCCTCATCAACCTCTCAATCTCATTCTTCAATGACATATTGTCTCGATCAGCTTTGTCTCTATCGGATTCACACTGCCTAATTTGAGTTTCTTTAATGTCATAACGACTCTTCATAGAGTTGAACTCATTAGCCATTGCATTTTTTTCATCCTGTAGTCTCTGTTTGTTGCGAGTCTCAGTCTCTAGAGTGATCTTGAGGCGAGACAGCTCCTCTTCCAGTCGCTGCAGACGGTTCTTATCTTGCTCCATCAGTTTGAGCTTGGCTTGCAAACCATCCCTCTGCAGCATCAGCTCTTTGTACTGGCTTTGGGACTCATGCACAATCATTGAAGTCTGTGGAGAAATAAGAGAACCGAACATTAAAATATTTGGTACTTTGATGCAAATAAAATATTCACACATAAAAGRTGTCTAGTTCATGGTCCTGCAATCATTTTTACATATTTGTATACATGTTCYGTCTACTTAGTGTGCAGCATTCACTGATGTGATTTTTATCATAGCATGAGTAACGGTTAAAGTGCCTATGACATCATATTTTGGTGTTAAACACAAATGCATTGTTTGAAAAATAACATTTTACAAAATAAACCACAAAAGTCACACCACTGAGATGAACAGTTGTTGAGATATAGTGCTGTGTCCAGAAGTAATGACAAANCCCCCACCCCCCAGCGCCCCTGCCTATGTGGGTCTTTAAGTGTCTCACGCCACGAGAATGGTGAAATCCACAGATTTTTCACATTCCAAGAGCTAATTTGTAATGCCAGGAATCTGCACAACCAAGCCCCTAACCACGTAGTCCACACTGCATCCTATTTCACCCTCTTCTCCAAGATGGAGTCACAAAAGRCCTTGCTCCTGAAGAATGCGTCTCATTTTATCTGGTTTCTGTGCAGCAAAGTAACATTACTTCACCATGGAACATGCTAATGTCGGATTAACTTTCCTGTTCCTCAAGAACGAGCTCAGCAGAGTGTAACAAATCACTTTTTGCCTTTTCATTAACTTGAGCTTTTAAACTTCCCTCATCATATTTGCTGCCTCCTTGTCTGGCTTCCTATTAAAGCATTAATTGTGAGTGTCCTGAAATAACTCTTAATAACCTTCTACTTTTGTTTGAGTCCCACTGCTTTCACATTGTTCTTCGTAACTGACAGATCAAGTTTGGCAGCTAGGCTGGATGGTTTCAGTCACAACTCGGTATAAGTGATAGGGTATGACGTCCCCTCCACCTCACTGATTTTTATTCACATGCAGGTACAAATATATACTGGGAAACCAAAAGTTATTCATTGTAACTCTACTGGTAACTTGTCCTTCAACACATCAAGTAAACGTGGGTAATGGAGTACCCTTTTCAGCTGTGTAAAATCCTGATTATTATTAGTAACAACATTTGTAGCCATTAGTTCTTTTCATTGGTGAAGACAAGCAAAACTTGAAATGTAAGTTTGAGATGTTTTATCTGATCATGTTACCAGAAAAAAATTCCTCTTAACTAAACGGAGCGGTAACAATATGCAAAAGAAAACAAAAAGCTTTGTTGTCATCCCAAGTTTAATTATCTGCCTTTGTCGTTTTAGAGTTTACCTTCTGTTGCGCAACCCAGGCCATGGCATTGTTAAAGGCTATCTCCACCTCGCTGGTCAAGTTCACTTCTCTGAGTTTCTGTTGGGTGCCACCATACCATTGCTCCAAGCGTAGGATTCTGTAGAGCGGACAAATAAAAATTGTTTTCAAAATAAAATCCTGATCATGCTGTAAAAACCAGTTCTCTTTGTGTAGGTGTAAGGTAACACATATTAATAAAGTTTTATCTTACTCTGTGTGAACGTCATCATTTGGTATACTCATTTCTCGCAGGTTCCTGTCAAAGGCTTTCAGCTTGCTAAGTGAATCTGCAGCCTTGATCAAGGACTGCTCTGCTTCCATGTTGGGGCCGCCCTATAAAGTCGCACAGAAAGGACACTATCRTCTTGTGCCTTTCAAAAATAAACACACAAAAGTTTGGATAATGCCCCTTTTCTAATTTTGTATTATTTCTAAAATGGTTGAAATAAACCCAATAAGCTCTGTTATGCTGGGTGTGATATGTTTTACTTACATTGCTGATGATCCAGTTTGCGTCCTTCAAGCATTCCTCACAATGATTTGCCAGAGAAGAAACTTGTTCATAAAAAAATGGACTACACACACAAAAAAGGGGGTAAATAAACTCC